ATATATATATATATATATATATATATATATATATATATATATATATATATATATATATATAGATAGCATCTCTGGGTATGTTTTGTGGGTTAGTTTTGTGGAAAGTGTCTGCCGTTGTTCCAGTAGCTGCAGTGTGAAGGAGTATGGCTCGTACCAAGCAGACGGCCCGTAAGTCCACTGGTGGGAAGGCACCAAGGAAGCAGCTGGCCACCAAAGCGGCCCGCAAGAGTGCGCCCTCTACTGGAGGGGTGAAGAAGCCCCACCGTTACAGGTGTGCTGGAAGCAACTTTAGCTCGCTCCCTGTTCCTTGTTTTAGTTACACTGTGAAACGTAGACAGAGAAGGTGCCAACTCTTTGACCTAATTGATTCCCGTCCAAGCCAGGAGTAAAAAAACAACGTGGTGTGGACCGATCCAAAATATTTACAAAAATCACAAGTCTCCTGCCACACTTGATTGACATAATCTAGTATTATAATTCACTCAGTTCAGAGGTAACATCAGTGCTCTTGACCCATGTGTGAAGGTATTTTGAAGGAATGAAACAGCCTTAGCGCCAAGTAGGTCATGTTGGTTCAGCTACCATAATAATTAGTTCAAATGAAGGCCCCCAAGAACCAGGGGGTGGCAAGAATCAAGATTTTATTTGTCACATGCACAGTGTTACTGGTACAACTTACAATGAAATGAGAATCTGGCCTGTTCCTGCAACTGTGCAAAAAAGAGAGTAGAGGTAAGCCGACTAGGAGCCCACATGAACTAACCCTCTTCTCCATGACATCCAGGCCTGGTACCGTGGCCCTGCGTGAGATCCGGCGGTACCAGAAGTCCACTGAGCTGCTCATCCGCAAGCTGCCATTCCAGCGCCTGGTGCGTGAGATCGCCCAAGACTTCAAAACCGACCTGCGCTTTCAGGGGGCAGCCATCGGTGCCCTGCAGGTGAGATCCAAACATCTAGGCTCAGAAGCAATTTTAACGTCCACAGATCCTAGGGCAGGGGTTCCCGGCTGTTTTTCTGCAAGGGCCAAATTCCATCAGCAACCCAAAGCCAAGGTCTCCTTTGTTGAAAAAATCTGCCTTCCAGGGGTCTTCCAACAATGAAATTCAACCAGTCAGGAGGAGCAGGGGATTGATTGGACGGTCTGTATTCAGTTATATTTCAGTCCAGACACAAACCAAAGTTTTCTAGTTGGTGACAATGGTATTACTTTGTTCATGGACTTACTCTGTTCATGCCTCCAGAGTAAAGATCAAATACATAATATATTCCATCCATTTATCTTCTGTAACCACTTGTCCTATTCAGGGTCACAGGGGGTCTGGACCCAATGGGCACAAGGCAGGGAACAACCCAGGATGGGGTGCCAACCCCTCACACTCACACACCTCCTCACAGGGCACTCCCCCTCACACTCAAACACCTCCTCACAGGGCACTCCCCTCACACTCACACACCCATCACACACATACACCCCCTTACACTCACACACCCGTCACACACATACTGTACACCCCCTCACACTCACACACCCGTCACACACATAGCAACTCCAATTAACATCTGTATGTTTTTTGATTGTGGGGGGAAAAACCGAAGTACCCGCAGGAAATCCCATGATGACATGGGGAGAACATGCAAACTCCCACAGGAAATCCCATGATAACACGGGGAGAACATGCAAACTATTACAGGAAATCCCATGATAACATGGGGAGAACATGCAAACTCCCACAGGAAATCCCATGATAACATGGGGAGAACATGCAAACTCCCACAGGAAATCCCATGATAACATGGGGAAAACATGCAAACTCCACACACATGGAGCCCTGGCAGAAACTCGAAGCCATGATAACTCGGGGAGAACATGCAAATTCCACACACATGGAGCCCTGGCAGAAACTCGAAGCCATGATAACTCGGGGAGAACATGCAAATTCCACACACATGGAGCCCTGGCAGAAACTCGAAGCCATGATAACGCGGGAATAACATGCAAACTCCACATACATGGAACCCTGGCAGAAACTCGAAGCCTGGTCCCAGCAGTGGGAGGCAACAGTGCACCACCATGGCACCCCACATGAAATGTTAATATATTAAAAAGATTAAAGAACTAGTTACTAGTTTTATCGTCTGAGCCACATTAAAATACAGTATAATAATATAGCATATAGCGTGGTTATCGCATCCTGTCCAGGGTGCCCCAGCCCTGTCTTCGCTTTTTTTGGGTTTTAAAAATGGCTCCAATTCATAAGGCAAAATTGAGTTTATTGTCCTTCTTCACATAAACGATTGAGAGAGAATGTTCACCAGGGCTCTGTGACAGTGACTTGCTAGCTAGCGTGTGGCCTGTTGCATTTCAGGAAGCCAGCGAGGCGTACCTGGTAGGCCTCTTTGAAGACACCAACCTGTGCGCCATCCACGCGAAACGCGTCACCATCATGCCCAAAGACATCCAACTGGCACGTCGTATCCGTGGTGAACGGGCCTAAACCTTTAGCGTCCAACAACAGTGTTTACATTTATAAAATCTATTCTTCCTTTCATTTTGTAGCCATGAATGTTAGATATATTTCTCTCATAAGACCACACTGACATTTAGGTAAATTGAGAACAAGTTGGAATGGTGATGTAGCATTTTTATTTGTGTATTATTTTCCCTTTTGATATCTGTTTTGTAACCAACAAAAGTGTAGCTTTGCAAAAAAAGAAAAACTAGGAGAACTGTTGAAGTTTAATACAGTGACATGTTTTTCAGAATATACCACCATGAACTAGCTGGATTTTAAAATAAGCAAGTGCTTTTATTTAAATATTTTGTATAAGTAATGTCAAGGTCTAAAACCATTTTCATGTTTAAGCTCCAGAGAAAAAGTATATAATAGTGGTTTTAATGTTTGCACATTTCATGCAAATTTGCTAGTAAAGCATTATTCAAGAAAATTATTGGTTATAGTTAATTGAGATGCATCTTAACTGAGTATTATATCACTATATATAGATGTACATAACTTGGGTACATCACACTAAAACAGCATTCTGTGTCAAAACCATACTATTTTTGAGTTCAGCTTCAAGACTTCCACCAAACAAAACCTACAATATGTGGATTACATTATATAATTATAAATTGTCTAAATCATTTTAATAGCTGACACTGGAAATGCAACAGCTGTGTAATAACCTGAAAATGTAAGTAGAACAAGAAATTAATTATTGACATCTAAATCTTGACAGGATAGGCTGACATTATTCTAAAAAAGGCATGTTACTGCATCATCAAGGTAGGTAAGATACTACACCAAAAGTTAAAAATCATAATGTACCAAAAACATGAAATTCTAAAAATAGTGTTTTATAGTCATTTAGGAACTTAAAAACTGAAACCCACACCACCAGGGAATATGTGGAATGTCATCACCATCAAAGACAGAAGATTTAATCAGTATTTTCAATTTTTAAAAAAATATAACAGGAATTCAGGAAAAAAAACAATGTTGTTGTAATAGATCTTCATCACAGTGGCACATTTCTCACAAAGACTTTGGTAAGATGCATTCATTGGTTGTGGGATATGGAAGGAATCACAAGAAGAAAAAAAAACATGAAATCATCTGCTTTCATTTGCTTACCAAAAGCAAAGTGTCGGCTTTCATGAAATGTTTCAGGGAGAAAGTAACCCCTGTGACTTATATCAGCCCAAATAAAAGATAATTAGGTCCAGATGTTGGAAGACTTTGGCCTAATTTCGTCTATTCCACCCTAATATAAATTTGAGTGACTTTGGTTGATTTGATTGGAAGTGAAAATCAAAGCACATCTAGTAGGACAAAATAAGCAAACAAAAATGTGTAAAGGTGCCTGCAGGGGGAATTAAGTCATTGAGGCCAAGTCCTCTTAAAAGGGTTCCATTTACACTTATTTATATAGCAGACTCTTTTGACCAAAGTGACGTACGAATGAGTCAGATAATACATCATAGGCATACAGCTGTCAGGGAGCCAACTTAGGATTCCAAGCCATTTTTAGCTTTTGGGGCACCAAAGAAACTAGTCAAAGCCATATTTTCCAAATAGAGACAGGGCCAGTAAAATGGTCCCAGGTGAGGTCTGTCTGACAAAATCAAGTGAAGAAATAACAGTGAAGTTAATAGTACCCAAGAACAACGTCCAGGAATTTTGCCTTAGCAGAGATTTGTTCACGTCTCCACCATCAAAAGGCAAAAATATAAAGAGTATATACTGGAGAATAGCAAGACAGAGCTAAGCTACGGAAAACACAAACACGTCACAAGTTTGCCGAAAAGCATCTGTATGTTTTTTTGACTTCTAAAACATTCTTTGAGCTGATGTGTCAGAGGAATTTGTTGGCTTACCTGGCCTATGTCTGTTGAAAGCATATGGTGATTGTAGTATCATAGTAATCGCAGTACTTTACTACATAAGGTCCCAGACAGACTTCATTCATCCCTGTGGGGAAAATGCCCGTTTTCACATATCCCATCTTGCTCTCTAAGAGAGACACAGACATATATACAAGTGAGAGCAATTTTGGAGTCAGCTAGCATCTAGCATCCTGGAGTTGAAGGGGCTGAGGTGCTTGTTTATACTACAACTCCACTGAAATTGGGATTTAAACTATTAACCTTCAGAAGGTGAAGCACAGCTGTTTCATTCAGTAATATGGCTAGAAAATGATTGAAGGAAGACAACAGGTGGAAATTAGCGGGAGAACATTTCAAACTGGATTTAAGGAAGGACTTCTTTACACAGTGTGTAGTCAGAGTATGGAATAGTCTTCCTGATAACATAGTGCAAGCTGAATCCTTGGGTTCCTTTAAATCAGAGCTAGATAAGATTTTAACAACTCTGAGCTATTAGTTAAGTTCTCCCCAAGCGAGCTCGATGGGCCGAATGGCCTCCTCTCATTTGTATAGTTCTTATGTTCTTAAAATGTCTGTCCTGTTACTGGTACTCCATCCAAAGTGGACCCAGTCTTAGAGAAACTCCAGGTTCACAGTGACCCTGTCATAATAAAGCCAATGACTGAACTGGCCTAAGAAAAGTTTAGGCCTAAACCACAGTGATGTTGCAGCAATACGTGCAAATTTTGTATACAGTATTACACCATGACTTATTTAACTCTCATGAAAAGAACATCTCTTATTAAATATCCAGTCTTGATCTAATGGATCAATGGGTAAAAACATGCTACATCAAACAAAAAATTGGTCAACGACATCATTAGACATTTTGGTACTGAAATAACATAGGGTCACTTCTGAGGCAAATTGGTCCTAGATGAGCAGCCACCTCAAGTGATTCTGAAAACAGAATCCCTGTTTTATTGGAGCAAGAGTTTGGTTTGCATTCCCAGCAGTGTCAGACTCATTTCTGGTGAGTGCTGGAATCCGGCAGGGCTGCCCTTTTTCACCTATTCTGTTTATAACTTCTATGGACAGAATATCTAGGCATAGCCAAGGACATGTGGGTGTCCGGTTGGGGGGCTTCAGGATCACGTCTTTGCTTTTTGCAGATAATATGGTTCTGTTGGTGTTGTCAGGCTATGACCTGCAGTATGCACTGGGGTGGTTTGCAACTGAATGTGAGGTGACCAGGATGAGGATCAGCTCCTCCAATCTGAGGCCAAGTTTCTTGACCAGAAAAGAGTAGATTGCCCTCTTGTGGTGGGGGATGAGTTGCTGCCTCAAGAGGAGTTTAAGTATCTCGGGCTCTTGTTCATGAGTGGGAGATCAACAGACGGATCAGTGCAGCATCGACAGCAATATGGATGGTAAAAGAAGAGCTGAGCCGGAAGACAAAGCTTCCAATTTACCAGTTTACATTCCTTCCCTCACCTATGATCATGAGCTTTGGGTAGTGACTGAAAAAATGAGATTACAGATACAAGCAACAGAAATGAATTTGCTCCACAGGTTGTCTGGGCTTAGCCTTAGAGATAGGATGAGGAGCTCAGGCATTTGGGAGCGGAGAGTCACTGTTCCTCTGCATCGAAAAGAACCAGGTGAGGTGGTTCGGGCATCTATCTAGGATGCCTTCCTGTGGAGGTGTTTTGGGCATGTTCAACCGGGAGGAGAGCCCGGGGCAGACCCAGGACACACTGGAGAGATTATATCTCTCGGCAGGTCTGAGAACACCTTGGGATTCCCCCGCTGGAGCTGGAGGAGGTGGCTGGTGAGAAAGAGGTCTGGGCATCCCTGCTTAGACTGCTGCCCCCACGAACCGATCCTGGATAAGTGGTGGAAAATGGATGGATGGATATGTCCAAGGTTATGCATTTCTGACATTTTGCTATAATGAAAAAAGGCTACAATGAAATCAACCTGTGCGACTGATTTGCAGGAGAGTAAAGATTAAACAAATGTTCACAGACATAAGCATTTGTTTTTTCTTAAAGATTTATTACCAGAAGCTATGAAAAGGTGCTTATTTTAAGATCAGATATCAGATACTTAAAACACCTGATGAAACAGTCACACTCTGCCAGAGTTTTCACAAGGCACACTTACTCAAAACAAACGCTTCAACGCGTCGACTTCAGTCACAGTAAATGTTCTGTTTTACTGACTCATTCATTGCAGGTCTGTAACTGGCCAGAGGTGGGGTGGGGGGGCTGTGAAGTTGCATAGTCTTGCAAGCGACGCAATAGCCCGCTCTCCAAGCTGACATTTAAACCTGAAAGGCATCTTGGCTGCTCTGCTTGACAATCCTCTTCCCTTGTTGGACCCAGACGCTAGGCAGCACCAGAACTTGCAAGAAAGCATACATTTGGGGGTGGGGGATGGGCACATAATTCCTACCCTCTTCTCCTGCTTTGCCATTACAGCTGGAAAGGTTCACACTAATATTGGGACATGTGGGGTGAAACACGGAAAAAGTGCTTACAGGTATAGTATATAAATTTTTGTGTTTTTTTTTTTTTTAAAAAGGTACTGAAAAGGTAAAATGACAACACAGTATGACCAACATTTTTAAAAAAAGACTACAGGGAACTTTAGAAAACAGCCAGGCGTATTGACATGAAAAATACTGATGAGAGAATGAAATATCTGTCAGAGTGGGGGAATTGGATACCGTTCCCAATATGGCTCTCAATTCCCCAGAGGTCTGGCACCTGCCACATCTTCAGACATCCAGGCAGGTATTAAAACGATAAACCAGTCTCCTATTGCATTCATAAGGCACAAATCGGGTCCAGCACAGGACGACAGGAGTTAGGGAGCTTTGATCTTTTTGGTTCGTGGAGAGGCTCCGTTCTCCGCCTTGATAATGCCATTTTCGTGATGTCCTGGCAAGTGTGGCAACACATAAGGGTAAGACGGTTAGCCGAACTTAGCAAGGAAGCTACGGGGCTAAAGGTCTGCATCATTAGCTAGGAGCTTACCTACGTCCCGCTTGAGTGTCCGCAGGGGAAGCTTAGGCGCCAGCCGTTTGCGCGCTGGCTGCTCCCGCCGATATTCCCGCCACCGCCGGAGCTGGAAGCGGATGAACTTCCATAGGAGCCAGGCTTGGGTGAAGCACACGGTCAGGAGTACTGTTAGCCTTCAGAAGCAAAAGACAAGCAAAGGAGAAGGAGATGTCAACCCGAAGGGCAAGAGGAAGCAGAACATTTGTCAGAAGCCAGGAGGAAGATGGACAGAGGTGTTGGTTTCTGATAGCCCTGGTAACTGTGGATCGCACCTGATTAGAATGGTGTTGAAATTCCCTGCTTCCAAGTCCAAGCCCTGGTTTTCCGCCCGCGCCAACCCGAAACCCACCGCCAGAACCGTCAAGGTCAGGGTCACCATGCGGGTGAACACAAAGCTCACGGCCCACACATCAAATCTGTTGACGATATCATTTGACAAAACTCTCGCTGAATGTTTTAGGAGAGGCAAGCCGCAGGTCAGTACCGACTGGGTCAAGACACTGAGACAGAGCCACCAAGTCGGTCACTCACAGCTTGTGATGGTTCTCGTCGATGAAGTAGAACAGCCGGGAGACATGGAAGCCTAACTCGGATAGATACTGCAGGAAGAGTAGCACCAAGCCTACTCGTGTCAGACTGCAGGGGTACGCAAACAGGAAAAGAGAAACCAAACGTAAAAACAGAAACAGAGAAACAGGAATACAGGAATCTATTCCACATATATTAAACTACATATCAGGTGTGTATTCTGATTGGTTCACATGCTGCTCTGATGTAGTCACACGCTGATCCCGTGTTTCTGCATAATTCTGATGAAGAACCCAGAAGCCCATTCATATATTGGGACAGGAACTCCATCAAACAATAACCATTAAGCACTGAACTAATGCAGATTTGAATTACTGCACTCTTTGCTTACTTAAGGAGGTAGGCCAGTGTGATGTGCAGGAGGTACAGCAAGATGTACGCCAGCTGACGAGGCATCTCCTCCTGGAGGCATGCAGGGGACCACATTAAACGCTGCGCACACACACACACCATCCACAGCAGAGCCTCATGTGTGTCGACACCTTCAATCATATTCCCTCTGTGCCCCAGCATACATTCTGGTGATAAATCTATGAGGACATTTTCACACCGCTTCTCTGACTGGGTACCTCCATCATTCATCTCATTTCACATCATCACACTGTCCAATACTTTTATCAGTTCCAGTTTAATTCCTAACCCAATCTCAGAACTGTGCTTGCCCTAAGAAAGTCTTAGATGAATGTTTATTAAGAATTAGCCATTTACCTCTACAATAATAAAGAGGTAACAAATACAGAGGTAACATACCTTTCTCACTTTCTGGAAATAAAGCTCAGGCAGGGTATGGAGCCAGTATGCCAGCTGGAAGAGGTAGAAAAACTTCACCTGGAACCTGGCAGAGGAAGTGACTTATTTACAGCAATTAAATAAATAAATACAAACACGAGGCCATAAAGTAAAAGCTGTGTCAATAAGGTAATAAGGCTGTCCTTACCTGAGGGGAACATGAGGATAGTTCTCCCATAGGCTGCTAAAATTTTGAATGTATCCTTCCTGGGGGGGGGGGGGGTATAAAAATATTTAGAGAAATGGGAAGATGTCACAGATGACAACAAATACAGTATGTGTCTATTTTAAAAAATGCAGAAATTGTGGATCCTTCCAGTTTTTTGATGAAGGTCTTGGTTTTCAAGTTTGCAAGGACCTGCCCGGACTCACCGTGATGAGAACATAGAGGCTCCACACGGACGAGACCAGATGGAACACGCAGAGTTGTCCCGACTCATTAAACTTCGTGTTCTTGCTTTTGGAAAGGTGGAGTCGTCGGTTGACTTTCTAAATGAGGTCAACGCACATTAATTCAAATCAGCAAAAACTTCTGAAATAATTAGTACAATACCTTGACAACTCAAAAGCCAGTACTTTTTATTTACAGGTGCTCCTTGACTTACGGTGAGGTTACATTCTGATGAACCCATCTTAAGTGGGAAATACCATATTGAATATGATACGATAAATAAATAAATACGCACATGGTTGCTACAGAGACCGGAAGCGTGGCTGGGAAGATGTTGCCAACAGCCAGCCTCAGTAGAAAGTATCATAGCACATATCACTAGCCCAGGAACAGATCAAAATTCTAAGTTGACTACTGAACGTGCATCGTCATCGCATCATTGTAAAGTCGAAATATCGTAAGCTGAACCATCGTGAAGTGAGGAGCATCTGTTCATTTTGAACCTCTTGAGGAACATGCCCAGGACACTACTGGGACGCATACTCACATCTAACACGTACTCCTGTACCACAGCGTGGAGAATGATGGCGATGAGAAAATAGAAGAAGATGGTGATACAGTCCCTCCAGCCGTAGTGATACAGAGACTCTTCTCCCTCTGCATAGACCAAAAATGCTATGATGAGTAAAGAAATTGCCACCTTCACCACCCCCGCCGGCCCCAACAACTCTGACCATTACAGGCAGATGCACCACTTTATGAGGTAACATCATCTGGTCTCCCACTTGGGCCCCTGAATTTTACTACGCTCTAATTTTGGTTGAGGAAATAGGCCTGGGATCAAACTTGAATGGCCACAACTCTTAAATCCCATCACACAAGATGATTATACTACAAAGACCAGTGTCTCATAAACAGATGAAGCCTTTTGTAAGTTTATATGCTAAACGAATTCTGCTACATAATTACTGTAAATCTATTTTGACAAAAAAACTGACTTAGTAAAATAAGAAATACAAAACCATGTGTAACACTGAAATTAAAGAAATATTTCAGGCTGTGCATGAATTTACGATACAATGACACCAGTGATACTGCTGCTAATGTTTACAGTGTGTCCGATTACTGGCTGAAATGTCACACTTATGAGTCATACAGCAGATTGATTCTGTGCATAACACAGTAGTGTACCTACACCTTAGACACAAGATATTTACTGGTTGCTTCAGACACTACCAAAGTTTTGGCAAGAGACTGTAGATTTGGTTAAACTTCCTTGAGGCCTGGAAGCCAAGTAAGAATAGGTTTAAGTTCAAACAGTAATATAAAGCCTAAGTGCATGCAAGGATATTTTGAAGAAAAGTCTTCCTGAATAACCTGAGATCAGAATTAACTTATAATTACAAGAAAATCATACTAGGAATGAACGGATATAAGATTCCAGAAATTAACTGTGTCAGTCAGTAGCTATAAATTAATAAACGGAAAGTCAGTAAAACACTGTCTGAGGTTGGCTGAACCCATAAGTTGCTATGAATTAAGGGACATATTCAAGTAGGAGTCCTAGCTCAGTAACATACTAACCTGGAAGAAAAGTGGTGGTGTTGTACTGAGGAAGAATAAAGAGGAAAGCTGTTTTTGCGGTTGCCTGAAAGAGATCAGACACATTTTAACTGGTTTCCAACAATGATCAAAAAATATAAGGTATGGGACAGTGCTATAGAGATTCTTCATTTCTTGAACAGTTTTTGCCACCTCAGATGCAGTACCCAGAAGAATGTCGGTTTAGGCAATTGTTCCGATTTCATTCCAAATACAGCAAAAGTTTAATCCATTTCAATAAGTATAACACATGGTGGGGGGTGGGGGCTTACAGACTTCAGCAGCTAACAGATTATGACCATCACTGGACATAATCAGTCTGAAAGTCATAATGCATACACGTTTGCCAGAAATTTATACATGGCACAAAGGCATACAAAAATATAATCAGCATAGCAAACAACTAACAAGCTTCAAAAGAAAAGGGTAAGCTTGAAAATGATTGAAAATGTAGTTCTAAGTCCCACAACTATATATACATACATACACAAACATAACACATTGTACTGTATATTACATTGTATTAACCCTTTGTGGGGGAGGGGTACATACGTTAAATTATTTCTTTTTCAAATTGTACAAGGTCCTACATTGGCTAATTTTATTAATCCGGGAAACTTTCTTTAAAAATATATATTATTCACACATCGCGTAATCATTCAGATACTAACAAAGAATAGATTAACACACTGCCAATTAAGGGGAGAGCAGAGCAAATTTCAAAATGCACGTTATAAAGATGACACTCCGTCTCCGACAAGCTTGCATCAGCAGTTAAGACAGTTCAGTTTATGAATAAATGGCTTTACGATCCTGTTCTTAAAAAAGAGAAGGTTTTCCGGTTCGAGGCCTTAACCAAGTTCGCAGACTGAGACGTGGCACTTGTTCAGGACAGAAATCAGACGCTCCACAAGGCGGATGACATGTCCTGATACAGATCATTTTAAACACGACCTGTATTAACAAGAAAATGGTTTAAACACCACTGCGGATTTCGAAGGTCAATCGGCATTATAAGAGAAAGAAAGAAAAGTGCTTATGACACTCTACGGGAACCAAATGTATAGTTTATAGTCTGATCGAGCCATCAGCTCTTACTTGTTACTATGGGGCAGTGATAAGGTTCCCATTAAAAAGCTTCAGCTTAATAAACTTTTTTCCTCCAAAAGAGCAGAATCTGTTACAGTAACCTTTGAACTGCGCTTTATCTGCCTAATTAACGACGTCACCTAGTTCCTTGCATATTAATACCGGTAGAGACGAAATGCATGCAGCCTAATCGCAGTTTTAGCACGAATCCAGCCACGCATCTTACCTCAGGCGTGATTATTTCAGATTTCCATTACCTACTTGCATCTCATTGCCTAAACGCTGGAGGACGGTACGCTTCCAACAACATTGTCATCTTAATGCAATGTTTGCAGCTGCATACTGTTTTGCAACAAGTTTAAGGGTCAGGAAGTATAATTTAAATCATACTAAATCATTTTTTTAAAATCTTTATAATCGTGCATGGTTTGCCGAGCATATCTGACTCGTAAGTGGCCCTACCCTTCAGAGTCATCTACATACAGGCTAACATTCCTGTGCACGAAAGAGAAAAATGCGATCAGAAATCTCACCTCAAACATCAATCCAATTAGAATTAAAACCACCAAGCAAAAGACCAAGTCCGCATGATTCTGAATGAAAAACTCTTGACTGAAGAAAGGGTAGCTTTTGCTCCTCCTGCGGAATGCCATTTCAGCGCCGCCGCTTTATCTCCCCTTTTTCTTTTCTGTAAAACTTTCTGCGAAGTTGAGGAGGCAGAATAGTTTGTCTATGCGCGCGTGCGCACTGTGTCTTAAAGGGGAATATCCTTATTAAAGGTGAGGCGTACATTATTTGCCGCAAGAGGTCCCAGTTAATGTACATCAATTAAAAAGACATTTTCTTTTAGAATTTTCTTCTGGCATTCGTCGCAAAAAGCTGCAACTGATTTCTTTAAGAATTTTTAAATTGTATTTAGTCTGTATTTAGTCTAAATCTTAATTCCAAACATAATCATGTGAAAACTTAATCTGGAACCTGGGAGAGGAAGCTAATAGTTTAAAAAGAATATGAAATTATTAATTTGCGGATAACAGCAATTAATGTGTTCAAAGTGCTCAATTAACCTGGATGGCAGTACCCAAGACACTCAGAAGTATCGTTTTACAGTAAAATACATTTTTCTGTATTAATTGCATTGTGGGTTTATTAAAACTCAGTTCAGATGGTTATGATGCAACAATGGCGGATTGTGATGCTATACATCAAAATATGACTTAAAAATAATATATAAAGGACCTAAAAATGTCCCATCTTGCCCTCACCGATCAGCAAACCAACGCCAACTGGCGATCCCTCCACCATGCTGAGAGTCCCATGCGTGGTTCTTTGATGGTGGATGAGCTATGGAACCATCTACTGTCATCAGACTCCATCCCCACCTTCAAGAAACGCCTCAAGACCCAAGGTGTTCCAGGAATACCTCCACTAGCGTGACAGGTGATTGTTTGGTGGTTTCCCCAGACCCAGCAATTCAATTATGTTCTTATGTTCTTATACCACTCCATCTTCCTTGAACGTTCTTAATGTTGCATTTCCTGCTCGTTGAATAACAGTCTTATTAGGTTCTTGATTTATTGGAAAATGGTGTGTAGCTTTTGTTCCAGTACCGCTTACATTTGTAACTGGGCTTTCATCGAAAGCTGCATTTATACCTAACTCACTTCTTGACAGCCGTATGTTTGCAATGTGTTAATTGCTTCACGTGCCTTTGGACAGAAGCACCTGTTACATTAAAGTTAAAGTATAACCCATGACAATCAAAGAAATAGAACAGTATGACTCAATATGTTTTACTTGGTTCAAAATAACAAATGTTTTAAATAACATTACACACATATTTTAAAATGATGTTTTTCACGTGAATGTCCTTACTACCACATTTTTATTGTCTATCACATTATATTTACAATGACGTAGAGCACCGACTGCACACAGCCTTAAAATAGACTCACACCTCCAGGTTGCTTTGTTTGAATCCCATCTCTGTGTGCCAAGCTGTTTGTGCAGCTTTCTGACAGTCTCAGTCTGTAGTGTGCGATTTCGTGAAGTAGACTCACACCTCCAGGTTGCTTTGTTTGAATCCCATCTCTGTGTGCCAAGCTGTTTGTGCAGCTTTCTGACAGTCTCAGTCTGTAGTGTGTGATTTCGTGAAGGTAGGCTGCCCATCCAGAGTGTCCCTACATTGTGTCCTATGCTCCACTGGCTCGGCTCTATGCCAGGGCAAACAGATTTTATCGGGTTAAAATTTGTCTCAAGTGATTAAATGCTGGAAAAAAAGAACATATTGTTGTATAAGTTTAAAAAGTACATTTAAAAGACTAAGAATTATTACTAAGTTTTAAATAATATGTTAATATGAAAGACCTCAAAGTCAGATATTACCAAATTTGCCTAGTGTCCATCTAAAAATACTGGTCGCAAACATGCGAGGTTATTAGCTTGTGCACAGCCCTTCACGCTTCCATTACACTTAACGGACTTTTTTTAAAAACATTTTTTAAAATCTCTCAGGTTTGTCTTTCCAAGACAAAACCACCTGCCGCCTGGGGATGAGAAAACGAGGACTCATAGGCTCTGGGGTCCTGGTTTCTGTTTTCGGGGGAGATCTGCACCTGGGGTTCACCCTGTTGGGCAATTCTCTGGCCTCTGCTTGTAGACCTGCATCACCCGACATGGGGCTTGTATCTCCCATGTTCTCCGCTGCCGAGTCCCTGTCCAAGCCAAGATAACTGGCACTTCCGGGGGACTGGGGATCGGCGCTGAAATACAGGGTGGTGGTAGATTCTGTGGGGCAATACCTGGGCTCCAGGTTCTCCTCCAACACTGATTTTCCCTCTGGAGATCCTCTCCTATAATCAAACACAGGAGACGGCAATGGACTCTCCGTCTCTAGATCTTCGTCTTCCTCTTCCTCGTCACCTGTCAGATCGCTTGTGAACGAAGGTTCACTGACACTCTGGAAGTTCTCCTTCCCTTCCGAGAGGGGCATGATGCCATCCTTTGACTCTGACTCTGGTGGCTGAGACTCCACGTCTTTCATCTCCGGCATCTCCATAGTGTCTATCATGGCAGCCACCTCCCCGTACCCATAAGCTATGTTTATTTTAGCCAGGTTTCCTGTCTTCAGGGCCAGGCGGATAAGCAGCCAGTGATGGTGCCCATCCTGCATGGCGGACTCTGCGCCACAGGTTCCGGAATGTTCCACCATGTCTCTGGCCACAGCAGTGAGAGGAATGTTGCCTTGCGATGGGACGGAAGGCACAACCGCCATCTTGTCTCCCAGAGAGAAAGAAGACTCTCCTCTCAAACAAGCTATCCCCAAGTGTCCATTCCACAGATTGTGCGAGATCTCTGTAGACTTAGGGTGAAGAAAGCGGTAATACAAGACCAGTGATGTTATACCTACAATAGGCATCCATTGGTGGTGAAGAGAAGATGAGACAAAAATCAAAATTTAATTTCATGCTTTTGATATAACATGTGAATTAAGCATACAGATGCATTTTATTAGTAGGAGCTATGTATGCAGAGAAGCTTCCAACAGCAAAGGGTTGTACTACCCAACGTATCCACTTGGGGGACTAGAGGAAGCTTTTCCCTCTATTAAATAATTCTGCAGCTATCAGGCATAGGAGATTCCAGTGGCACATATTCTGAGGGCTTTTCTTCTTTTATCATTCCCTCTAGACTCATATGAAATTCTTTCTGACCAATTGGTACCTCTATGTGCACAATAAGGTCTGTGGCCCCTTGTAAACTAGATGTTTTGTGGATTCACACTGTACCCACTAACTTACCCAAGAGGAAGCTGCAAAACACTGCAGCGGGCACACCCATGCTGTCCCATGTGGCCTCGCTGAGAAAATCAGAGGCCAATAACAGGAGTGCAGCATTCTCCAGCAGCATTACCTGTGACGGAAAGAGGAAGAGGACATTGTTTCCTATAGCAGACGTGTATATAGCCCATTAAACTGACTCCATAATGAAATAGATATACTACATGCATAAATTAGAACATTTACAAAATGAAAGTGAAAGTAATTCCAGTCATCTTGGCCACTGGGTTACCCACAAGAGTAAGAAGTTAAAGAAATATAATCTTTCAGCCAAATCAAAAGCAGAACTACGATAACAGGTGATTGTTTGGTGGTTTCCCCAAACCCAGCAATTCAAAAGCAGGAGGGTGGGATATTCCACATTTCTAGCGTAGTATTGCCTCTTTTGTTCAGCTGGATTGCCTGACTAGGCCGACATTTTCTTTTGCTTTAGCATTAGCCTCACCCAAGCATCCAAGGTTTGCCCTGAAGACAAGGAGAGAGAAGGTCACTGCAACCCACCAGATAAAAGCTGGAAATGCGGAACCTGGAGGGCCCGTCTTTCACATTCAGAAAGAAGAAGACATGCATGGCTCCCAGCGCGCAGTTGAAGAGGTGCCATCGCCAAGGGCTGCTGCAGATGTCAGTTTGCTGAGTTACGAGCCACAGGGACGCAATCAGCCAATGGAAACCTTACAGTGCAGAGAGAATAGATGGAACTATGACTGTAGGTTCCCTAGACTGGTCCCAGCATGGTGCATTTGGCAATGAGATGCTGCTCTAAAGATAAAACTCAATGCTCTATCAATCTCAATGCTCTCATAAAGGATTGGCTATATCACAAATACTCTATCTATCCATCCATCCATCCTAGTGGCCAAAATTGTGGACACACCTGGCATTCTTGGTATTACACTTTAAACTACAGATATTGGCAGTAATGTTTATAACCAATCAAAGAACATTACAAATATCATATATTGGATAATTAAATAAGTAACTGGAGCAACAGTTTAATAAACCAGATTAATACTTTAACATACTGTAAAATTGTGTTAAAAACAATAACACCTGACAGGAGGTGTGGTAAAAAAGGTTTCTTGGTAAACAGACGCTAGGACTGGGGTGTGGGGATTTTAATGAGCTTTAAAGAGGACTTTTAATTGCACCCTGAGCACAGAAGCGGGTAGGCAAACAGAGCAAACACACAAAAATAACTGCTTTACCCTCCATCAAAAGATACAGAAACAAGAAACCCCCGAGATCCGGGCCATTGCTCCCAGTCTGTCTCATTCCCTCTCAAAGCCAAAACTAACTTTCTAAACTAAACTTAACTGGGTACAGGTGAGCAGAGGGCCTTGCCGCCTTATTTAACCCACTTCCTAAAAAACACACTTTCTCCCATATCTAACAAGGTATCATGCAATTAAAAAAAATAAAGGTCATCAACTTCAAGCACTGAACTAGAGTGTCTCTCACGTACCAGTACCTACTAATGACTAATATTTACTTAAACTGATGTTTTATTTACTTTCATTAATTTACACTACATTAATTTGGCAGATTCTTTTATCCATTGCAAGTGAGGACAAGAGAACAGGGCTGGCCAGTGTCCCTGGAGCAATTGGGGTTAAGGGCCTTGCTCAAGGGCCCAACAGTGACATCACTCTGCAGACTGCAAGATTTTAACTGGCGACTTTAGGATCATGGGTACAGAGTCCTAACTCACAGGGCCACACCATTTAAAATATCTAATGCTGGATATTACACCATTAAGTCTTATATTTAAATTGCTCTTCACCACCATAGCGCGTGCAGAAAGAGGTGACACTTGGCCTCACCTATAACGCCACAGATCCATCCACAGAAGACCCTCATGAAGAACATGAGGCTGGCTATCCGGGCACCCAGCATGCTCGCCCTCCACAGCAGCTGGCAGAGCAGGGCGGCGGGGGGCATGGGCAGGTGCCCAGGCCGGACCAGGGAGCAGGCTCGGCTATACAGCACAAGCGCCCAGGAAGTGGAAAGCAGGCAGAGCGTGCAGCACACGAACACTGCAGAAAGGGGGCAGCACCGAGACACAGATGGCACACGTATGCGGGTATGACCCTTAGGAAGGATATAATTGCTTTGTTTTCAGGAGATGAGAAGTCAACAAGTCTGCATACAATAACAGTGCAAAAGTGCTGCATATGTATGCTGACAAATGGAAGCATATTGCAACAGTTTTTTAACTTCATATCTATTGATGTTCAGTTTTTTTGTGGAAAGAAGATCTTTGTGAGTGATTCATCCAGTGTTTATAATAGAAGATCTTTACAAGTGATTCATCCGGCATTTACAATTAATTTACACAGGACATGAATGATACAGTGTCTGTGGTAAAGTATCGAAGATCATTTTTAGACATATTACATATTACATATTACAAAATTAGCTATTGTATAGTGTAAGTAGTCCAACACTAAGAAATGGAGGGTATTTTATATCAGTAATATAAACTGCTTATCTTGGTCATAGTTACAGGATTAGTAATGTTAATCTTAATTAATACTGCTACATCTTTGTTTCCAAAACATCACAACCCTGCACTGGACAACCACTTCTGGGTGGATGACGTACGATGACTGAATGCCTAATAGGCACTAATAGGCACTAATGTGAAACGTTAACACTCAAGGAACGTCTGGCTACCCAGAGATACCAGTTCTTTAATTAACAAATTTAAACAATCTATGGTTTTAAAGTATCATTGGAAGTATGCAATCTCAGTCCCAAATAACAGGACTAACATTCTGGGATGTCACTTGATTGAAGCTTTTCCTCAGCACTTTTATATATTTTTTTTAACATATTTTAAGCACAGTACTTCCTAGTTTTATAACTTTTACACTATGACATGGAGCATTCCACTAACAACACAAAGGTTGTGGGTTTGAATCCCAAAAGTCACACATAAATTGTAACCCCTCCCTCTAGTGTAAGTCATCCTAAATGTGAAATGTAAAGTATTTAATAGTGAACTACATACCTGGGGAAAGAATTCCTTCATCAGTGGTGAGGAGGATGTAGGTTTGCAGAACAGTCTGTGGAAGGGTTAGCAACAGTGCCTCTAACAGACGGAGGGCGGAAACATCAGCCTGCTGCATTACAATGGCACTAAGCCCATCTCCTGACTCTGGCGAATGCCACAGACACCACATGCAGTCCCACAGCCTGCCAACAGGGGGCAAACCAGAGACATGCCTTACGGTTGCATAGTGGATGCAGCTTTTCTGCAGCTGGCCATCGCACAGTGGTTAGAAGCAGAGGACAGTCGAGCTGACCTTTTGAAGATACCAAGGTGCAGGATGTGTACGAAGCGAAGGCAACACTTCTGCTGGGCTCCATCTTCACGATACCACTTGAAACTCAGCACTTGAACCACTGTCCCAGGTACAACCAGGCCAAAGGTCAGCACAGCCCTCTTAAAGTGGGTGTGCCATAGGTAGTACACCACACAGTAGATCACTATCAAAAGACAAAACAATGTCATTTTTAGCTTCGGGGTCATTAAAATGATCTTTGTTATAAAGTATTAGCAACAGAGAGACAAAAATGCATCATGTATACAAACCCTTGTATCCACTCTCTCGTTTCATACTGTCATGTTTTGTTTGCACTTTAAAGATTGTGGACCCCCCCCCCCCACTTGCTATATGTATGTAGCCATGGAGGAATTTTGGAATGTTAAACCTGAATATGGGTGGTGTGACAATGAAGCCCACTTGACTTGACTTGACTTGACTTGACGTACAGCAAAAATAGTCCCATCTGTAAAAATCAAACTTTTCTCAATTAATAGAAAGAGCCAGTAAATAATATATTATATCAAGTACCACAGAGTACTATATTATGCAAAAATGCAGAGCATGTTGCTAATATGCTAATAGTGTGCTAAACTTCACCCTAAATGTGTGTATAACTGCACGCTTAGCACCTCACCCCTGGTTATACCGCATATATATTGTGTATGTAGTCCAGCTGTGTGTGTTCCCTGCAGGGACGGCCCTGGGAGTTCTGCTGCTCTAGGCAAGATTTTGCTGAGCGAACCCCCTCCTAGAGCCGCAGAAAACAAATTCTGTCAGTTCATTTATATTAAACACATTCCAGTAGCACAGGGTGTCTGGCTGCTAACTAGTTAGCTCCCATACAGTAGTGAACTATTAAAACTAATGTAAATAACTGCAATGTTGCAAAACACAACCGGAGATATTTCCTCTGATTTTTTCACTCTCTCTTTTGCATCCCCTAATCAAATGTTGCCCTAGATGATCGCCCATGTCACCTATAGGGCGGCTGGCCCTGCTTCCCTGTGACAGACTGTCATTCCATTCAGGCTGTCCTCTGCTTTGTGCTTCAAGGGTTAGGCTCCAGGATTACTGTGACCTTTTACTGAATATGTGGTTATGGAAAATATACTATAGTGGTTATGGAAAATGTATTGTTAGATCTATATATAATTTTTCTGCTCCTGTGATTTGATCTGTAATTCTAGACTGTATCTCCATATTTTTGATGGTGGTTCTGTGTGCTGATTTCAGTTGCTGGGATTCAGTATCTACTTCTTATTATAAGGATGCCAGTTCATTGTCCAGTTTGCAAGGAAAATTGCATCACATTTCTGCTGTTTTTCCAAGAATATGATGTTTCTATGCAATAAACTGAATCCATCGCATAATATTTAGCATTTTAGCAAACTAAATCCAGTATTGTTCTGGCAAGATAATATATGCTCAGAGGTTTGGATTTTGCTCAGTCATAGGTCATTTGTATTGTTTTCACAGATAGCTTGTAACAACAAAGTACTGCAACATTTCTGGGCGGTTAATGATTTGCTTCAACAAAAAAGAGAATAAACAAACTGTAACGTTCACGCAGCACTTTGGCCATATATAGACATATGAATAATTTATGTTATTTTAAATGATATGTAGATTTCTTAAATTCTCCTGGCAGTGTTAAGTCTTTTAAAACACCGACACATTACACTATTATATATTAATAAATATGTAAACAGTAATATATTTTTTTTTTTTAAAAACGACGATTTTCCTATTCTGACAATGATTAACTTGATGGTATGTGAGCACTCTCTTGTCAATGCACCATTTGCACAGACTGTTTTAGAGCCTCGTCCGCTATCTGTGCAGATGTACAGCATCCGTGAGAAAAGACGGCAGGGAACGCCCCTTGCGCCATCACATTGCCAAGAATCCAAAAAAGCACTCATTTAGCATTACGACGCATTGCGCTTTCAAAACGTACAATTTTGCAACTCCCCGTGAATACACATTTTTATCGCGCATTTAAATCTGTGAGTTAGATTCTACAATTTAAAATATTCATATCAACGTGTGGTCACGTTGATATGAATCATTTCACAAGTCTATTTTCACAAGCTGTAAAATGTGTGGAATAGACCAATAATATGAATAGAACAGTACATTAAACTACCTGGAATTTAACACAGTCCGCTGGCAATCTGAGTTTAATGCTTTATTTTCTGTAGAAGCCTAGAAGGAACACTTACGTGCGGTTCTCTCAGCCAGGATAATCACTACAGTCCACCCGAAAAGAATAACTTGGCACCAGGCAGTCCAGCGCACCTTGCGATCTGCTGTCTGCATATCTTGGGCGTTCGTATGCTCTTTCATGATAAAAATTCACAGATGATATTTTCACCGTTAATCCCAGTCGTGGACATTTTCTGCAGTATGTCTCCTCTGCTTCCGTCAATAGTCCGACGTCACCCTTTTGGAGTTAAAGCAGCAGCTCTTTACCTTCGGTACTGCTCCTCAAACCCATCGTCACCATGCACTCACCATGCAGTGGCGGTTCGAGACCATTTCAACTGAGGGGCAGACTGGGGCCAGTCGTTCTGTTAGGGGGGGCAGATGCATTTGACCTTAATGACCACCAAGTATTACTTACAATAGATTATAAGTATTTTGAAGCAAAAGACAAATTTGAAAACCGATAAGTTACTAATGCAATCATCGCAGTTACATTTTACAGTTTTTACAAATATGAAACTCACTCCGATTTCTTGTTTGGACTGTCTTGCTTTTGTAGCCGAGTTAGTTAATATATTATTGAACTTCTATAAAACTTTTTCATTTATTTTTTTTATTATTATTATTATTATTATTATTATTATTTTAGTGAACAATTTAGTTTTGTGCATATAAATTATGTTTATTTTATTATAAGTAGTATTGGTCATAAGAGGGCATTTGTTTTATTGACAAATTTATAAAAGGTTCCTTTTTGTATATTGTTGCGGGTGGGGCACTTTTCTGAGCAGCGCACCTTAAGCCATCTCGCTGATTCCCGGGCAGAAGCTGCTTGGGAATCGAGTTGGTAAGATATGTTTCTCTTTGCTCTCTTGGTTTTTAAATTAATTTGTAATTGTTCCTTTTTACTTTATTTTATAAGGATATAATTTCTGTTACTTTTAACTCATGATTCATATGTTTTATTGTAAGAGTACTTGTTTGGAAAGTTGATAAATGTGTATTTTGTTTTTTTTTGTTTGGCTGTTGCGGCCTAAGCTGGAAAAGAGGGCATATTTTGCTTTGGAGTGCAATCACCGTTCTATATGTCAACAGGTTGGGTCCTCTTCTCTTTTCTTTTATTGATATTAAAAATTGTCTAATCGGTTAATTATGTTAAACAATGTTGTCTTAAATATAACTTTATTTCATTGTTTTGTTCATCTAGTCTTTTAGTCTTTATAATATATTCTGGTTTATAATTTTTTTTGTCTTTTAAAAATGTACGGCGGAAGCTGCTTGGGAATCGAGTTGCTGGAAAAGAGAGCATATGTTGCTTTGGAGTGCAATCACCGTTCTATCTGTTAACAGATGTTAACAGTAAATCATCGTTGCTGAAACGAACCGGATGTGGCTGTGATTCTTTCGCAACCGTCTGACGACCGCTACACTTTCACAAGCTTGATTATATTTCTGTCGTTAACTTTGATTTTCATCAACTGCAGCGACTGAGAAGGGTCTGGCTGCAGACCTCCACCAGGAGGATCTCCACTAGAGGAACGGAAGCACGTGATCTCCACTAGCGAATCCGGACATGACGTTATGCAAACATGCCATGGAGGTGGTACCAGATATCACATAACCCTCACACACAACCCAGACTTTAACTCGAACGAACAGAAATCTAGTCTTTTAAAGTATACACTTATTATTTTGGTGATCGATTTAAATTATATTTAACATTGGAAACGGACGTTAATAATCTATTTTAATTCTACAAGAAGGGACGTTAATAGCATATGTTAATTTTATTATTTTGGAACGTGTGAAATTTTTACTTTAATACGGAGCCCCCGAATTCCCATAGGGTTTTAAATCGTGTGCGCACAAGTTATTCTGTGCGCACATGATAATTTACTCTGTGTTTGAGGCCGAGAGTAATATGAAAACTATGTCTACCAAAACTGTCTCAGCGTCTAAACAAATCGAACTGGAGAGCCATTCATTTACAGTCAACAAGTAACTCCATTTTTTTAATGCTGCAAACTGTTTCTTTGGTATTAAGGCTGAATTATACAGTCTGTGTGTATGGTCGCAACAGAGGTGAAGCGACATGACAATAATCATAATGATACACTATGATAAACAGGTACAGTAAATGCAATAGGTGTCAGTTGTCACGCCCCGATCCTGCCAATCCTCCTGTGCCACGCCCCCCTCGTTAACCTCATGTGGATTCCCTGTGTTTTATGGCTGTTTCTGATTGCTGTCATTAGTCCAGTGTATTTAGTCCGCATTTCCGTTCGTTTCCCCAGTCCAGTCATTAACTTCACGTGTCTTGATGTGTGTTACCCCAGAAAATAAATCCCTTTTGTGCATATTCACGGCTTCCTTCGCCTGCTTCCGCGTTTATCGCATGACATCAGTAATATCAAAAAATGTTAGTTGAACTCGGTGAGGTGAACAAATCAGCAAACCGATTAAAGTTGCAAACATAATCTGTCTTAACGCAACCGAACAAAACATCAGTGTCAATATTAATATGCATAACCCTATATTCAATTTAGTCAATTTGCTAATCATATTCAAATAATCAAAAATACTACATAACTTATTGTATAACTTGGTCACAATTTATTGCACACAGGCTGTATTTTGTGCATCTTTAACATTGTTGACACTCATGTTTGGTTCGGTTGCGTCAAGATATACTATGTTTTCCACTTTACTCGGTTTGTTGATTTGTTCGCCTCACCAAGTTCTCCTAACATTTCTTGTCATTACTGACAGCTATTTATTGTATTTATTGTACCTGTGTATACCTGTTTTATTATTGACTACCGATAATGAAGAAAAAAAGTATTGTTCTTGGCGCTTCTCCTCTGTCGCGACCATTCACACGGACTGTATATACCTCAGCCTTAATGTCAAAGTAGTGCGCGGCAGCGTTGTATTTACTCCTTCCGGTAATATTAACTGCAAGGCTATTGTATGTTATTGTACCCTAATGCCAGGTCTAGCAAACATAGTACAGCGTGCTGAAATAAACCTCTTACATTAACATGACAGCTATACACAGCTAACCTCAACCTGTTCCTTCCAAATAATAACTTGTGCGCAAAAGACAATTATTTATAAATGTAGTTATAAATTTATAAATATTTTTTTTCTTTTTCAGTAGACACAGTCAGTCTAAGCTTAAGTATTCAATTTAAAGCTAAATTTGGAGAAGAAGAAGAAAAAAATCACCGGTCAAATGTTACTGTTGTTGCTTATTCTACCCACTATTTTCTTTCGACAAAGCTAAACACTCTCCCACTGACAAATCCAGGCTGTGCGTGGAGATCATGTGATATCTGGTACCACCTCCATGGCGTAAGTTTGCATAACGTCATGTCCGGACTCTCTTGTGGAGTTCACGTGTTTCTGTCCCTCTAGTGGAGATCCTCCTGGTGGAGGTCTGCAGCCAGATGCTCTTGCAGCGACTCGACCACCCGGCACCCCTGCGTTGAGTCCATCAGGAAAATGTGCTTACGTTCCCAGTGCACAACATTTTAGCTCCCAAATTCATCAGTATAAAAAATGTCGTCATACTGTACTTATCCATATAACACTGATATATTTGGTTAGCTCATATTCTTAGCTATCAAAAAAGGAGCAAGTTTTACAGGAATATTTATTGGTCGTTAATCTTCAGTGTGCATCTTTTATGTTGTATTACTTTGCGAAGATTATCATTGGAATGATAACACGTTTTAGTAATGCTTGAAGTTCGCGTTGGCAGTGCCCCAGCGTTCTGCTAATCGTCACAAAATCTGAGGCTTCGGGCTTTTCCTTACCCTCCCTGTTAAGCTGTTATCGGATCGGTCTCTACATCTTGAGCCACATGGATTCAGGATGTGCTCTGTCAGTAAAGACAACGCGCCCCAGGAAAAATTCATGTTTAGTAATACGTTAAATTGTTTGAGGGTGCTTGTGACCTATTCGTTTCAACTTTCGATTAAAGGCACAGTGTATCAGATTTTAATTTATGTATCAGAGCTTACATACTGTACTCACCTAACTGTTTGCACTGCCTCTAGTCTCCCCTTCTTTGGCTAATTGCACATTTTATTTCCCCTACTCCTCCTGGGGTGTGCTGCCTGGAGACCTCAATTTATCAAGATATCCTGCACACCCTGCTACATGTGACGTCACCACTACCCATGATATAATATAGAGACATTTTATTTAGCTGTTTTAGGACAAAAAAAGGTTGAACAAAAAAACTGATGTCTGTCCGTCTGTCTATCCATCCATTCCTCCATGCATGCATGCACCCATTCATCCATTTTCCAAAACAGGGCATCAGCAAAAGCTTTTAGTGAAAATTTGAACCGTTTATGCTAAAATGGTAGGTTCTGTCTGTGAGTGTGTACAGGTATAAAGACAGATTCAAGAGCTACTGGCAGAATAGCTCCTGGCATTTTAGAAATACTGTATATGACTGGTAGTGCAAAATATCTCACAGGCAATCTCACAGGGACTGAAGTGGAGCATATATATAGTGCTGGCTGAGGTCCCAGGGCTGGGAAACAGAGCTCACACATAAGCCTCCTAGACAAAACAAGTGACCTCATAGGCAAAATGGTGGCAATATTTCAGAACAACATTTTCGCTGGCAAATCAAGCACAATAGCTAATTTGTTGCCTATTATCATCATTACAGCTGAGAAACAAGCAGGTGGTTGTAGGAAATTTGTACTTCTAACTAAAAAGTACATTAACTTATACATTATACATATATAGATATATATAATATATATATATAGAATATATAATCTTTATGCAGAAAATACATAAAGAATTAAGCTATCGCATACGGCCTGTATGGTCAAGTGTCTACTGTGGTGAAATTTGACTGTGGTGTTTTTAATACTCATTATGAAAGTCACCCATCACTTTAAAAACTCTTGTATTATATTCCATCAGTGCCCAGTTGGGTGGGACCTTTATATTGCCCATGGCATATGGGTAAGACTGATGCATAGCTCTTTGGACAATGGGAAGCCACATATCCTGTGTGGATGGAACAAGGACACTCCACAACATCATCAGCAATAGTACTGAAGTAATGATAAGCATTTTAGCACCCAACTCAGTGGTAATTCACCCAACAATACACACAAGTAGATATAGTTTAAGCTCTGTTTCTTAATTCTTCTTGTGTTGTCTTCTTCTAAGACTGAATAGAAATGATTTAATTCTTCATCTTGAAATAAGCAATTATAATAATCAGTAGCAGACTTTGCATATTATCCACCAATTTTGGAAACTGTAAAATACTCTATATTGTCAGTCCCTGCCTACATGGCCCTGTCCCACGTGTCTATTCCCCATTTGGTCAGCAGGTGTCACTGCAGGCCATCCCATTTATTGTTACTGCAGTGTGAAATTAGTTTGTCTTGTTCTGCCAATTCTGTCATTTGGTGCCGAATGTAGTTATTTCTTACCTCCACCTGCAATTTGTGAGTTCATAATCATTGTGCCCATTTTTTAAATTCTGTGTTTAGTGTATTATCTCAGTGTCGCTCCATTCATATTTCAGAAAAATATATGAAACTAGCCTGATTTAATTTAAGGACTCTATTACATATGTCACAGTAGTTTGAAACTATCCCTTGTGAAGTCAGGTCTTCTGAAGTCTGGGAATAGTAATTGACATGTAAAAACATTATGGGTTTAAAATTTTTTTAGTTTCCAATTATTCTTTGTGAAAGAAAATGTCTTTACTGTTAGTGATTTTCAACCAAATGATTCGATTCCAGTGAGTAATTAAAGGCTTCCATGCACAGAGACTGACAGCATATTGGTGTTGTATTGTTTAGGAGACCAGTCAACATTTTTGGAGCAGTATTTCCAAGGTAGTGTTCATCTCCTGCATTCCCATCCACAGCCCTGATGTCAGTTTTCCTTGATAAGGGGGCCCTTAGCCGGAATCGCATCAGCAAGGGGAGCTGGGGGGGGGGTGCACAGGCCAGAAACAGATAAGAAACAACACTCAAAGAGTCCTATTGTTCTGAATCTTTTCAAGGCGATTTCTTGTGTTGTGTCCCTCCTGAAAAAACAGCAGTAATATGTTTATTATGTTGGTGAAAACCAGGGCCAGCTGATCTGCACATACCTTCAGTACACGTCCCGGGATGCCATCTGGTCCCGCTGCCTTCCTGCAGTTAGTGGCCCTCAGAGCTCTCCTCACATCATGCTCAGAGAGTGTCAGTGGTGCCGGTTCAGCAGCGGGGACGGATGCAGCTCTCTGATTAGCTGCCATAGCAGGCGCCTCGAAACGCACGAAGAAAGCATTGAGGTCGTCAGCTGGTTCCGGTTTTGTGCATCTCACAGTGCTGGGTTTATAGTCCGTAATTGTCCGTAGCCCGTCCCATATACGCCAGGGCTCGCTGTGTTGGAAATGCGACTCCACTCTGTGGCGCCTCTTAGCTGCTTTCACAGCCTTTCTTAGTCCATATGAAGCGGCCTTGTAACCTGACATATCGCCCGACGGGAGTCCTGTGTTGTAAGCAGTGGTCCGTGCTTTGAGAGCTGTACGAACAGTCGAGTCTATCCATGCTTTCTGGTTGGGAAAAGTTCGGATTGTTGCCATTTTTTGCATTACTACAACACAAGCAGCTTTGAATACGGATAGTATCTTGATTGTGAAGCATTTCCACAGAAGGTGTAAATTACCCCTAAGCTTTGATGCCAGGCTGGGACCCAAAATAATATCAGAGGTATAAATATGAAATGAAAAGGAACTATCAGCTAAAGTGAGATGTGCAAACACACACCCTTCAAGATACCCTCTATTTACTCCTATCCATTACACAACACCTCATTAATTTAGTCAATGTCAGTGGTCGGAGCATTAATCAGCTGTGGAGAAACAGCATTACAAACTGTTTATATAAGATAAGAACCAAAGACCTAGTAGTCTGGTCTCCATCATAGCCTGTCAGCAAGGCACCAACAAGCGACGGCCCAATCCTGCTCAACTGCCAGTTCCTCAGCATATTAAGCTTGCGAGTACTTTGTCCTTTCAAGTCTGTCCATGAGAAATAAACATGATATCGTCAACAGCACCTTACTCAAAACTTCCAGGAAGTTTTAAGAGCATCTCTTTAAGACCAAACCATCTGTAGCTATGCTGTCAGTGTATTACAATGTTATTTAATTGTCCAGCTAAAGATATATTGGAAAGGATCTTTCAAAACTTACTGAAGGAAAGAGCATTAATCACGTCTAGCTACCAAGAGACAGCAATCAGATTTTATCAAAAGACAGTATATTCTTATATTAGAACTAACTAATAATTTGCCATTATTCTAAATGTTGTCTTTCATCAGCAGCCTATGTTCAAATGGCGTGACAAGCAGTGAAATACCCCTGGCAAAGCATTCAATTAGCATAGTAGCTGCACAAAACTTATCAGAATGAAAATGTTCATATTTCACAAGGTGAAATGGCACTTTTTTTGTTTTTTACTTCAGCATTTCTTTAAGTAATTCACAAATCGTTTGTTTCACACTAAAGTGTCCAGTGGGAAAGAAGGTCATTAAAATGGGCATAATGGTAAGTGCAGTAATGGAAATATGTATAAAAATGTGTCTGATTTTTTTTTAAAAAGAACATGCTCTCTTGTATGAAGCCATCTGGCGAGTGGTCATGATTAAGTCGACTCTGAGAGCCACTTCGGCATGTTTGTGGTCATGATTAAGTCGACTCTGAGGGCCACTTCGGCATGTTTGTGGTCATGATTAAGTCGACTCTGAGAGCCACTTCGGCATGTTTGTGGTCATGATTAAGTCGACTCTGAGGGCCACTTCGGCATGTTTGTGGTCATGATTAAGTCGACTCTGAGAGCCACTTCGGCATGTTTTTAAGCTCTGATTCAGTCACACGAAGTCAGAAGCAGAAACGAGTCAGACGACTGTATCAGATCATAGGAAAGAAAATAAACGGTTACATGATGTGAAGACAAGCTGCCTAGCAGTAGGCTGGTAGTTTGGGTCTGTTTGGATCTGCCTACAGAAACACTAGACAGATTCAGCCAACACTTCGCGAAATTGGTTGGGTGCACCCCTTCAGTTTCTAATGATAGGCCTACATTTTTACATGCCTTTGTACAATGACATACTACAGTCATGGGCTTCGACAGCTGGCATTTACATAAATAATTATGAGATGATAACTTTTTTCATATAAAAGGAAGAAAAACTGCTATTTGCTTTTGGAAGCAACAATTTAGAGAGAGGCCTATACTTGGTGGTAAGGTATTGCTTGTAACTAATTAACTTTAAGTTATTTTAAGTTATGGTTTTGCTGTATTAAAAGACAGTTAAAAACACATTTATCATGTTTGTAAATGGAAAGGAATTAATTTAGATTTTACTGGTAAAGTTTGTTCTTGCAACTCAGCGTAGAACATTACGGAAAATTTTAAGTTTCACCCTCACATTTTGTAGAAAAGAGACAAATGATGTATATTTATTATTGACAAGTCAGCTTTAGTTATATTTTATGGGACGGTTTTATATTGCAAAACACATATAACCAGAAGACAAACTGGAGGGTGGAGAATGGGTTTGGAGAGGAAGAGAAGTGTTTGTTCTCCCACTTGCCAATCCTTTTTTCTTCATAGCTGGCGGAAAAGTCGAGGATCCTCTTTGCCTGTTTAGGTCCAGAGACTCTCACATTATTAAGGACTTAAAGGATGTTGTGCCTGCCAGCATGTATCCATTGAGTGGATGTCCAAAATGGGTTAAATGAATATCTGAAAATACCGTAGAGCCTGCTGAAACACGACTAGAGCTTAACCCTCAATGGGTCCTTGTCAGAAAGTTACGTTCCAGGTCCTTGGGGTTCAAGTT